TATAGGTTGACCTTTGGGGTGATGCTGGTCTCTATAGGTTGACCTTTGGGGTGATGCTGGTCTCTGCAGGTTGACCTTTGGGGTGATGCTGGTCTCTGCAGGTTGACCTTTGGGGTGACTGCGGTCACGGTGGGTCATGTTTGACTCCGCCTCCTGGTCAGTGATTGATGGATGGATTGATGAGGGAAACAAATTTCTCTGTCTTATGTTACCGGCTGGTGCTGTGTGCGGTGGCCGTGGAAACGGTTGTTCTCGGTGCGCCTGTATCAGGTGACGCAGCTTTTGTCCAGCAGCCTGTGCTGGTGGAGCCAGGTGCGTTGTGTCCGTCAGCGCTGATGTGTGGATGATTGATGCTGAATGAAAGCAGATGATGACAGGCGGCTCTCTGAAGCCCTGCCTCTGATCTGCGGCTCCGTCGGTCCTTCTGGAGTTACCGGCTTGTGTTCCCAGGTTACTGGTGATGCAGACGGTGTTGCTCCTCCATGGGAGCGGAACCAGTCCAAACGGACTGACGGATCAAGAGGTTTTCTCAGGAAGCCATGGAGGAACCTGAGGATCAGAGCCTGTGCTCAGACCAGCGCTCAGCAGGTCCAGCATGGGCCTTCCTCCACAAGCCCATCATCTCCATGGTGATGGGGTCTCTGATGTCTGCGGCCGGCGCGCTGCTGCTCCTGCTCCGCTCCGCCGGGGTGAGCGGCGCGTCCCGGTCCGTGGCGTCGGCCTGCCTGTCCGTAGGGCTGATGTTCGTGGCGGTGGGCCTGGTGTGGATCCCCGTCCTGAAGGAGAAGCACCGGCGGAGACGCCTCAGCCAGGGGCTGGAGGACGAATGTTGAGACCTCTGGGGTCGGCCGGGTTTCCTTCTGGTTTTAAGGATCTGCCGGGTCCAGGAGAGGATCTTCCTGCTGCTCTCAGTGGGCGACATGCTGGCTGTTGTCTTCAGCCTGGAACTGGAGGAAGACATGAGTCTGAGATGAAGAGCAGGGCTGAGCCGGTCAGTCACAGAGTCCAGCTGCTTTCCTTCCAGGATCAACTTCAACTGGGAGCCGCATGAAACTTCAGAGGAAACATCTGCAGCAAGAACCTGATTTCTAGATAATGTGATATTCAATTAATATAGAATCTTTAAAAGTTTAAATGCTAAATCAATCCAAATTATATTGGTCCTTAAAAGATTACAACCCTTCAGCACCAATTTTATTTTGATATTATAATTATAATCCCCTCTGATATTGTATTTAAATATTCATATCTTGTTCTCTACTGTCCGTTTTATTTTGTTTCTGGATGTTTCTTGGTTTAAATAAAGTTAGGAGAGGAAGTGGAACAATCTTGAGCTCTGTTGAATAAATCTGGAAAAAGTAATTATGGAAACCTATAAGTGCCCTAAATGTTTTCAAAGCTAAAGCACTAACCTACTAATTAGCTCCAGTATTAGCTGTTAGCGGATTGTGCCCACCACTGATTTCATTTGACTTTTTTGCAATCAGAAAACGCTTCAAAGCAAACCAAAACTCAACAATAAATAGAAATGACCAAACCTCTCTCAGAGGGAAGGATGATTGGAGGTGATTTTCAGGAATGACTGCTGCGTGTTTGTCAGAGATGATGCAACTGAAACATCAGATCCAGTGGATTCCAGATAACAACCGGTGAACGTTGTACTTTGAACAGCAGCTTGTTCCATGCAGGGATTTAACCTCACAGTCCTGCAGCTGCCGTCGGACCAGGTTTCTTCTTCCTCTGGTCTGGAGGACCTCCTCTGCCATCATGTCCACCTCCGTGCAGATCGCGCCGGTCATGGAAGAGACGTACGATGGAGTCGGCCGCTGTAAGTGTGCCTTCTGGCTGGCGGTGGTCCACGACGTTCTGGGCGTCCTGGTCATCATGGTGGGGGTGTTCGGCGGCCTGGTGATCCACGACGTCTTCATCTACGGCGGCGCCATCGTCATCTTCCTCAGCCTGATCTGGTGGATCTTCTGGTACTCGGGGAACATCGAGGTGCCGTCGGAGGAGCTGGAGGACGACGTGGGCCTGATGAAGACCCGGGACAGGCGGCTCAGCCGGGCCGTCAGGCGGGTTTCCAACGGGATCAGGAACTCCTTCAGGAAAAAGGCTCGGCCTGTGGAAGAGGGGCCCTCCGGGGGCCCCGGGCCCTCAGACTGCGGTACGGATGTAACACTCTCTACCATATATGGCAGCTCTAAAGGCTCTTCCTCAAAACAACTTGTAAGAGAAACTTTGTCCATATGAAGAGTCAGAACCTGAAGCTGGAGTTTTATTTTTGTCTTTATCTACAGTTATTTTTATGTGTCTGTAATCGTTAGTCAACACAGAGATGATGAATGATAAGACGTAAACTTTGCACACAACAACAGCAGTTTGCTGACACATTCAGAGACTACTGACTGTTTTTACCGCTGATCATCTGTAGCTCATTTACAGATTTCAGAGGAGTTGAAATGAGTGAAGTGCTTCATTTTATCTGCATGATCTGTTCATTTATCATGGAAATTGTAAATGCTGCTGCTGAAACAAAACACTGACACACCTGAAGCAGAAAACAGTTATAAACAGCTACAAGCATTTACTATCCATATGTTCCCTATTTTCTGCAAAAATACTAAATTATTGCTTGTAATATATGTCAAATCTAAACTAACGATGAAACAAACCCACACTGAACTTGTTTTATAACTCGTAAAATATTTTTAGAATTTTTGTGTGAAATTAAAAGTTGTGTAAATATCACGTTTCCATCTTGTTGTTTAAACCAGTGTTTCCCAGCCCTGGTCCTCATTGCACACTGCCCTGCATGTTTTAGGTGTTACCTTGCTTTAACACAGGTGATTTCAATTGACAAGTGTTTGCTGAACTGCAATCACCTGAATCAGGCGTATGAAAGCAGAGAAATATCTAAAACATGCAGGGCAGTGTGCCTCGAGGACCAGGGTTGGGAAACACTGGTTTAAACCATTAAGGATTTAAAGTGTGAGTGTTTAGCCCCGCCCCCAGTGTCATCAAAGTGGGCGGAGCCTACAGGCTCTGGGGGCGTGGTTGAGTGTGGGGACCAGAAAAGGGGCTTAAAAACTGCTACGCACTTTTCAGATTCTTCAGCAACTTTTACTCCAAAAGCGACAAGTCTATTGTTTTTGTTTATTCTGTTTTTAAAACTTTTATGGTGACATGAAGCACCTGGCGTGCATCCAACAGAGAATTTAAGCAAAGACTTGAACACTACTGTGCACAGACGTTCTCCACTGGACCTGACTCAACCAAGAAGAATCAGAGTATTTCAGTTATACCACCAATGAGAAAGATGAATCTGCAAAGTAATGCTCAATAATATGCATGCCACACTTTTTAGATTTTCTTCTGTGAAAAATATATAATTGTATTGTATAATTATTTTCCATGTAGAATACCTCCCAATGTGTTATTCTGCCACATTGTATCCTAATAAAATGATTTGGGGGTGGTATGTTATCCTCATCAGGATTTAACAGCTGGTGGCTCGTTAGTAAGCGAACGTGTTACTTTTTCTTTAAAGAGGAACAAAAACCTGAATCTGACATTAGTTTGTCATTTTAGGCCGCAGGAAGCAAATGGGGGAAATGATAGAACTGGATAAATTACAGAATGAAGAAAACATTTTCAGACACCAAGAAGAAGAATATCTACTCATCTGGACCGCAAAGAACCAGCAGAACAAGCCTAAAGCGACTGAAATCAGTTTTTCAGCTAAAAACTACAACTCCCAGCAGCGCTCGTCATCATGTGACCGGAGTGTGTTTGGTCACGTGACCCCGCCGCCGTCATGTGAGTGGTCGGTTTCGGTTTTTCGCAGTGTCACAGGCTGAACTGATTATACTCTGATAACTTTTGGTTTCTGGTCCAAAGCGGCTCCCGGTTCTGCTGACACGGGACCGAACGGCTCAGAGTTCGGCCTCGGAACCGCGTCCATCACGGCCCGCCGGGTTATCGGACCGGGAAGCGGCTCCCCCGCAGGCCTCGCTGTTCACCGAGCGAGCATCGGCGCTCACGCCGCTGTTGGGTGGGTCCAGGTCGGCTACGGCGGCGGCATGGAGCCGGGGCACCGCTAGCTTGGTGCTGGTTCTGGGAGATGAGAAGAACCGTTTCCTCCGAGCCGTTTCCGGTCCAGGAGGTCGGATGTCAGGATGAACGGTGAGTTTCTCATCCAGCAGCCAGGGGAGGTTCTGCTCCAGCAACCTGCTCAGAGCTAACAGAACCAGAACCAGCTACTTCCTGCACACGTTAAGCTCCAGCTGCTTTATTCTGTGGTTCGGAATACTTGGGCTCGGTTCGGTCAGACTCTGCTGCTGGGAAATGAAAGCAAAAGTCCAACAACAACGCCTCGCTCAGGTCACCTTAACAACAGCCTAGAAACATTCAACTTTTATTTTGAAAGGAAAAGTCCAGATTCTGCCCTCTAGTTTGGTTCTGAACTTTTATTCCACTCGACACGTTTTCCTCCTTTAAAACCAGTAAAAACCACAGGACAGCTTTAATTTTTAATATAATTTTTTTAGAGTCAAATTAACCAGTCATGTTTTGGACGGAGGAAGCTGGAGTCCCCGGAGAGAAACAGCCTCTGTAGAAACTATCTGGTGTTAGTATTTTATTAATTTTTATTGACATTAGGTTTCATTTCTGGTTTTATTCATTCCATTTCTTCTTTACTTCTCATATGTATTCATTTATTTGAATTATTTAGGTTTTAGCTCTGCTGACTTTAAAGTGTTTTATGAATAAAATTGACTCAACTGGATGGAGACTTTTAAAGGTTTTTCATGATTAAAAGAATCTTTCCACAGTTATGAAAATCTTCTTCCAGTATAAATTTAGGCTGCAGAGTTTGTCTTTAATTTCAAATTCAGTTCAAAAATACTTTGATACCAAACAGAAATTAATTCTTCAAATGGTTATTAAATGGAGTTAAAATCCACATGATTTTGCTCAGAATCGATTTTCTTTTCGTTATTTTTTCAGTGGAGACCTAAAACAATCTACACATTTCTTTTATTGAGGCAAACATTCAAACTCTAAGCTTTGAACCTAAGATCATTTTTCAGCCTTTTAAACAACAAAAACAAAAAAATCAGAATTCTTTATTTGTAGAAAAAATTGTGATTTTATTTTTGTCCTGGTTCTTCTCTGTTGATGATTTTGGCCCATGTGATAAAAAGTTTGGACTCCGCAGATTAACTTCAGTAACGTTTAGAGGTTTGTTTATTCAGCAGAACCGTTTCTGAGCCCAGAGTAACTTTGTTCTGTTGTAACGGTTTCAGGGAAACGGCCTCCATGTTTCTCTCCTCTTCGTCCCTCCTCCTCATCATCAGTGTGTTTCCTTCCTCTGCAGGAACTCAGCAGAATGATGCGAAGAGACAGAACCTCCTCGAGAGGCTGCTGGACGCCGTCAAACAGGTGAGTTAGCTGTTAGCCATTAGCGGTTAGCGTTAGCATCCTTCCTACAGGAGGCAGCAGTGGTTCAGTTCATTTGAACTCTGGAAGAAATATGATGGTAAATTCTGAATTAAAGAGAGATGCAGCTGCAGACCCATCTGAAAGTATTCACACACGGCGGCGAGGCGGCTTCACAGTTTGAAGTTTGTTTCATCTTTGAACATCCAGACGGAAACTTTTGCTCATTCTTACTCAGGTTGGATGAAGTTCTTCAGACTTGAGTTTTTTAAAGACTCACCTTAGATCTGCTATTGGATTCAGGTCTGGACTTTGACTAGGCCATTGTAACCCATGAATCAGCTTTGATGTAAAGCATCCCATAATATTTCTGCATGTTGGGAGTGGAAGGAGAACCTCCAGTCTTTAGGTTTTCCTCCATCCATCTTCCCATCAACTCTGGTCGTCTTGCTCCTGCTAAAGAGCATTCCCACAGCATAATGCTGCCAACATCATGTTTCAATGTGGGGAGATTTTCATTTAAATCTGAAAGTTAAAATGTGGTTTTTTTCTCTTCTTACAAGACTTGGGACTAATTTAATAATAATACATTTTATTTTGCTTTTCTTAACTTTCTTCTCTGCTTTGTGTTGAGCTGTTTGGTAAAACCTCCATAAAATAAACTAAACTGCAGTTTATGGTTTTAATGTGACAGAATGTGGATCTGTTGTTGTTTTACTTCCTTCGCCTGCTGCTCACACAGACAGGAAGTAGAACAATGTTTCCTGGGTTGATTTTTGTGGAAATTTGTTAGAAAACATTCTGGGAGGATGAGGATGATGAAGAACAGATGGTCTAACATGGGCATCACCATGGCAACGTGAGCAGGTTGGGTTCAGGTTGCAGAGAAAGCAGCTGCGTGACTCTGATCAAAGCCGAACAATCAAACTGGAAAGTCGCAAAATATTTTCCTGGAATCTGCTCTGGTTCTGCCGCCTGCAGAGCGGGAACTTTCTCATGTTTCCATTCCTTTCATATCTCTGCAGTGCCAAATCCGCTTTGGAGGAAGAAAAGAGATCGCCACGGACTCAGACAGCAGGTAGAGCAGGTCCAAACGGGAAATGTTTGTTTCAGACAGAACCAAACATAAAATGTTTTTCAGAACCACCTTCCAGGTTATAACGGATTCAGACTGGACCACGTGTCTCTTTTCACTGCTAAATTAAACTTGAAAGGAGCACTTCAACTCTTCAGGAAGTTGTTGTGTCTTTTTTAACATATAAAACCCGACTGCCTTCTATGAATTGTCTTAAAGGGCCGGTATCGTCTAAAATCAAACATTTTTTATCCTTCCATCATGTTACGAAAACAAACCTGCAGTGTTGCTTTGATTCTTTCATGTCTGAGAAATCCTTTAGTCTCCATGGCAACCAGTCAGCTGTTCAAAACGCCTGGGTCGACCTAGCTCCGCCTCTGAGGCGCAGCTCCTCCCCCACTCTGCTCCTTCAGACTAGCCAGCAGCAAACAGCTCATTACAGGAGCTGCTGCTCAGAGCAACGCTGGTAAAAATGTTAAAGGGTTAATAGAGAAGCCATGTTGGACGACTTCCTGGAGGCGGAGCTTCAGGAAGAGCAGGAGCTTCTTAAAGAGACAGAGGCCCAATTTCAAGGTGTTAAATCAATAAATTATTTGAATGAATTGATTTATTGTGAAAGGCCCATGGCTGTTTGGATGTCTGACAGGAGACTGTAGACAGTAAGCATGATGTGAGGTGCATTATAATTCATTAACTTTATAGATATAATTGGGAAAGAGTAGAAATAAGCAATAAATCATTTAATTTCATAATAAATGAAAACAAGCTCAATCATTTCCATTTGCATGATTTATCATTTCTGTGTTTCTACCAAAACCTGGATGATGAAAGTTTCAGTTTGGTGTTTTGGTCTCATAGGACAGTTTTATTTACAGAGAATTTTATTTTATTTGTTTCTGTTTAGTTTAATTTATCTTGGATATTTAAAATGTCTTCCAGTCCCAGTGTTAAATGTTTGTTAGAATTTAAAGTTTATTGATCTTTGGGAATCTGTCCTTGCATTATGATGTCATTATTGCCTTTATTGCTGGAAAATGGTACCAAAACAACAATATTATCATTTATTGTGATAACTTCTGAGACAATTTGTCATTAAATTTGTTATCATGACAGGTCTATTTGTGAGATGAGTAAAAATTACATTTGTAAATATAAATATGGAAGACAATTAGTGTCATAAGTTTAATCTTCTTTCTGCTGATTTTTGGACTGGATGTGGAAGTTTTGTGTTTTTATGTTTGATATATTATGATATATTTAGTCATTTTCTTTATATTTTTTGCTGTCCTAATAACTGAAGGTTTAACTGAAGCGCTCTGTGTTTGCAGGGTGATCTGCCTGTGCGCTCAGTTCGAGGCGGTGCTGCAGCACGGCCTGAGGAAGAGCAAAGGCCTGGCGCTGACCGCTGCAGCGCTGAAGCAGGCTGCCGGCTTCAGCAGCAAGACGGAAGCAGGTGAACGCATCACCACCTGCTGAGAAACAGGAAACATCCTGCTGGAACGTCTGGCCGTTTGTTCTTGGCTTGAAGGCGTGAAGCGTTGAATTATGCAGGAACAGAGTCAGTCTGAGGAAGCAGACCTTTGGAAGAGTCTGCTTTCCCGTTTCACTTGTTCACCGCAAAAACACAAAATCTTACCAAGTATTTTTGTTCAGTTTCTAATGCAGATATCTTATTACATTTAAAATAAGACAAAACTAACTATAAGTAACTTTTCAGCAAGATATAAGAGCTTGTTTAGGTAAATAATTCCCTAATATTTATGAAAAAACTTCTAATTCCACTGGCACCGTTACCTAGCAACCCCAGCCAAGCCCAGCCCGTTACCTAGCAACCCCAGCCAATTGTTTACTTGATAATTCCATAAGTAAATAATTAAGAAATTTACAAAAACCACAAATACTTATTTTATAGCATTTTGTACATTTTGAAAATGGATGTTTTACAGCCTGTGTGTTTGTTTTTTCAACGTTTTCTTTTATTAATATCAGATTTTATTTTCCTGGGATTTTAGATTTCATTCATCTTAAATCTTCTACATCCTGCTGAAAAGTTACTAATAACTTGGTTTTGTCTTATAAAAGTTTATTTGCATTAGAAACTGAATAAAAATTCTTGGTGAGGTTTATTGTTTTTGCAGTGTGGTGCTGTGGTCAGGCTCCTCTGAGGGACGCTGCGACGCCTCTGCAGCTTTGCTTTCTGCATGTTGAGCTGGTTTCTCTGAAGAGATTTTCCGCCTGGTTTGGTCTTTGAATGGCAGAAACGGCCTGATCTGTGTTGATCATAATGACTTGCAGGCTGCAGCTGGTTGGCTCTGAACACGTTCAGCAGGATGAATCAGGCAGGAAGGAGAGTCGAGATGTGGTTTGCTCAGGTTAAAGAAGTTTGTATCAGAATGAGTGAAAACTAAAAAATGTTTTTAAACCATCAGGTGGGAAAAGTTCCTCGTATTCATCCTTTCCTGGTCCGGAGGAACGATGGAGTTATTCTCTGTAGGGAAATTCCTTCTATTGACTGACTACTGCTAAGGACTCCAGATGACCACTGGTGACAGAAACAGGAACTTTTATTGCTGCTGTTGGTTTTAAGTCTGAATTGTTCCTGTGTTTCCTGGTGAACCAGAGGCCTGCAGTGAGCTGGATGATGAACTGAATGAGTTTTCTACACCTGGTTCTGAGGTCGTCCTGTAAATATGCAGATCAGCTGCTCAGTGGGGCGGCACAGTAACCCGACTTCAGACCACTTTAACTTGCATTTCCTGTTTCAAGGGGAAAATTAAACTTAAAAAAGGTCCATCAGCAGCTGAGATTAAGCTAGCCATCATTATGCTTCATTAGGCATCATTACCCATCAATAGCCAGCAATAGCCAGCATTAGCCATCAATAGCCAGCATTAGCCATCAATAGCCAGCATTAGCCAGCATTAGCCAGCATTAGCCAGCATTCGCCATCATTAGCCAGCATTGCTAACGGTTCCTCCTCCTGCAGAGCTGACCTTCTGGCTGAATGTGAAGGAGCAGCTGAACCGCCATGAGCTGCAGCGGTTCTACTCGCTGCGCCACATCTCGTCCGAACTGGGCCGGGGCCGGGCCTGGCTTCGCTGCGCCCTGAACGAACACTCGCTGGAGCGCTACCTGCACACGCTGCTGGCTGACCGCCCGCGGCTCAGGTTAGCATCCTCTGGTTCTGGTTCTGGTCAGCTGGACAGATTAACAGGTTCTGGTTCTGTCTTCTCTAGAACCTTCTATGAAGACTGGGCTTTTGTTCTGGACGAGGAGAGAGCAAGTATGCTGCCAACCATGGCTGCAGGTGAGCGACGGTCTGAAGAACATGAACAAATGTTAATAAACATAAAATATACATATAATGAAGTCTAAATAATCATAAAATCATCAAGTATAAACATGAATATAAAAATTAAATTTAAATAAATGTCAACATAAATATATAAATTTAAGCAAACAAAAATATAGGCTACATATTTATATATAAATATAGACACACAAACATAAAAATATAAATAAATAAATGTATAAATGTAAATAATCAAATACATAAACATTAATGTATAGACATGAAAATCAACATCTAAATATAAATTAAAGGTGCACTGATTGCAGTTTTCTGGCCGATTACCGACCTTCTAAAGTCTTAACTTACGATTCCGATTTTGGCCGATTTCAGTTTTTAGTCTGAAATGTTGCTCAAGACATCAAGAAAGCTGCTGAATTGGCGACAGCAGAGCAACTGATGTTAACTGTAGACGTGATCGGGTCGGTGCAGCCTCTCTCAGTGGTCCGGCGCCCTCTGCTGGGCGGCTGGTTCCCGGCGCCCGGACCGCCTCCCGGCGCCCGGACCGCCTCCCGGCAGCAGCTTGCTGAGGTTGGTAACATCGGTGGATAAGATCAGCTTCACGTGTAAAAATCGGCCGACCACAGATCTCCTGAAATTAAGGAAATCCGCACCGATAAATCGCTGCAGCCCTATTATAAATATGTGAATAAATCTTAAAAGAAATCTGAAAAATATATAAAAATGTCTATAAATGTATAACTAATGATAAAGGTAGAGGTAATTTATATAAAGTATTAAATTCAAGATGTGAGAGCTTGAACTTCACTTGGAGATTCATACGTTAGATTACGAGTCTTTATAATGTATTTTAAACAGATTAATTACTGCGTTTATTTTCTTAGGTAACTTTTAATGTTTTTGGTCATTAAACTTAAAAATGAAGGTTTTCAGAATATCACTGGATAGAGACGTGGATTTTCTAGGACACTTTTTCCCTCCACTCAGCTGTTAGCCATGAAAACTTTTCTGTTTGAGAATTTATTGTTTTTAATTTTTGGGTTTTTGTTAACTTTTAGATGGAAAACTATAAATGTCCCCTTTTGAACTGAATTAGTGGATTAAACCTGAGCCAGATATTCAGATTTCCTGTCCCTCCAGGTTTGAACTCCATCCTGTTCGCCATCAACATCGATAACAGCGACCTGAACGGCGCCGCGCCGCGCGGCGGCGGCTCGTCCGTCTCCAGCCTGCTGAAGGAATCCACGCAGGGCATCGGCAGCCTGCTGAAGGAATCCACCCAGGGCGTCAGCTCCCTGCTGCGGGAGATCAGCACCGCCACCGCCGTGGTGCCCGGCTTCACCCCGAAGCCCGACGCCTCCGACCCGCTGCCCGTCCTGCCCCGCAGCGCCTCTGCTGGTAGGAAGCCGCGCTGCGTCCTGGAAACAACCGGCCGCTCCGGTTCCTACCGATCTGTGGCGCGGCTTGGTTAGGAAATGATGTTAAAGTTTACAAATTTAGCTTCAAAATAGTGAAATTAAAATGCGTAGTTTATGCTGTGCAGACGCTCTGTCTGCGCTGGTGAACATTCACTCACCTTTGGATTACAAATGCTTGATGTGTCAGAGGGAGCCGCAGGGCTGGCCGATAAACATTGATGACACGTTATCAGTATCAATAGAAAATATTTAAAATAATATTGATCATTTCACTGAACTCTGACGCAGAACCGCACGGCATTCTGGGAGATGCTAGCTAGCTACAACTTGTGTAGCAGCAGCTTGAAGTTGCCCCAACATGCTGGGCGGACTTCACTCTGCCGAACGTCGGTCGGTTTCTACGGAACAGGAACCGGGCCAAACGGCTTTGCTCTTTCTTTCTTCCACTCTGTCCCTCTTTCTTTGTCTTTCTCTCTTTTGCTCACACTTTTCTTTTCCTTCCTTTGGCTCTCGTTCTTCTGAAAGCTTCGTTTTCTCTGAGCTGAACTGTAGCCGGGTTGCGAGGAGCAGCTCCGGGTTCAGGAAGCCGACCTGCTGTCGCCCTGCCTCTGAACGGAACAAACTTTTATTTTCTGTTTGAAATGAATCTCAGTTTATCTTTCTGATCGTATTTATTTGGCCGCAGTGATTCCTGGCGTTCGGCACCAAAGCAGCTTTCCATTGATTTTTTTCCATCATGGAGGTTCTGATGTTAGCAGCGCCTGTTTCATTTCTCCATGTTTGTTTATTAGCCAGAAAACTGAAAGATGAATCATTTGAATCGTTTGTTGTAAAACAATCAAATTTCAATCTGCACTTTTTAAAGAAAACCAAAGTTTCTGTAACTTGAATTGTGAGTTTCTGGTTTTTGTTCTGGGCTCAGACTCGGGGCTGAGGAAGGAGCGACGGAGGAGGAAGAAAATCACCAACATCATTTCCTTCGACGACGACCTGGACGGCGGGGCTGAGGATGAGGAGGACGGCGATGAAGAGGCGAAGGCGAGGAGTCGCCGCGGCGCTCCGGCCCAGAGCAGCGTGGAGGAAGGCATCAACCCGCTGCAGCCGCCGCTGTCCGGGTCTCCGGCCCAGAACGGCGTCCCAGAGCCGGGGGACGCGGGCTGGGTCGGGTCGCCGCGGCCCGGCCACACGGCGCCCCCCGCTGGGCCGCCACTCCCTGACAGCCAGAGCGCAGAGAACGAGGAGGAGGAGGACGACGAAGAGGAGACGAGGAAACCCCGAACTGAAATCCAGGACAGACTGGCCTCTGATCAGTGAGTCCAAAACTCAGAACCACCAGCCTCCAGAACCTCTGCTTGATTTGGACCTCAGGCAACAGAACCACAGAAGGTTCTGGAACTGGGAAGAGGAAGGAAATACAGGGATGCATCCGATGTTAGCAGTTAGCTTCAGAGGCGCTAAGGCTACGTTAGCTCAGAGACTGAATTCCTCTCAGATCCGGCTCTTCCCGGTCGGTCTGAACCGACCCGTTAAGATCTACGACGCGGAAATAAATCAGGAATATTGACAATAATATCGGCTGTTCTTACCAATGTTATCGTAATCGCAATATTTACCGATATTTTAGTTAATCCGATATTTTCCAACAAGGTGCAGCCGGCCTACAAAAAAACAAAAATTAAATTTAGATAAAAAATTAGTTGATGGAGGATTCTGCAGGAGATCTGGTTCTAACTGGTTGTTCTGGTTCTAATTTGTCTGGTTCTAACTGGTTCTAACTGGTTCTAATTGGTTGTTTTGGTTCCAACTGGTCCGGTTCTAACTGGTTCTAACTGGTTGTTCTGGTTCTAACTTGTCTGGTTCCAACTGGTTCTAACTGGTTGTTCTGGTTCTAATTTGTCTGGTTCTAACTGGTTCTAATTGGTTGTTTTGGTTCCAACTGGTCCGGTTCTAACTGGTTGTTCCGGTTCTAACTGACTGGTCCGGTTCTAACTGGTTGTTCCGGTTCCAGGCTGGTGGTGGGCAGCCTGTCCAGTGTTTCCACCTGGAGTCCGGTCCAAACCATCACCGACCAGACCAGCGCCGACATCCTGATTCCTGTGACCCCAGCGGACCCTGATCCAGGTACCGGACCGGTTCTGTGTAACAGAACCAGCTGTCACTGGTAATCTGAGGTACTTTCCGTGGCGGCTGGTCCTTTCAGTTTCACTTCTGTTCCTGCAGTGAGTTCTGTGGAGGAGCCAGCCGGGTTCCCCGCCCCGTGCCGCTCCACCGGGTCGGCAGAGAACTGTGAGAGCGGCAGAACCCAGCTCGCCTTCAGGTCGGGTTCTGATGTTTGGATCGGCTGCAGCCTGACCGAACCCCAAACTAACCATCTGATTGTTCATCTCTGTTGCTGCAGCATGGAGTCCAGTCCGCCGGTCCGGTCCGGTCCGCTGTCTGCCGGGCTGCCAGACTCCATGACGGTCGGTGAGTTTCTGTTTTTATTCTGGGCCGACTTCTGGTTCTGTGTGTTTCCAAACCGGTTCTGACGATGAATCATCCGGGTTTCCTGAAGCAGCAGAACCAGAACGACACCAGCAGGGTGAAGTTCTGGTTCTGCTGCTGCAGAGTTAAATCCTCACTTCCTCCTCAGGTTCAGTTTGTTACCTTAACCGGTTCGACCCGGTTTGACCAAACTGGACTCATGTTTCTAGCCTCTGCTGGTTCTGCGTTTTCCTACGTCACTTTCTCTCTGAACTTTTTCTACATTTAGTTTAATAAATGAAGCTGATTTTGGCGAAGCGTCGTCTGGATTAACATGATTCTAGTTATTATAAAATCTTGGCTGTTAAAAGACAAACTCTCTGTTTTGTACTTAAGATTTTCCATTATGAGAAAATGATGTGGTGATAATTTTACCCTGAATGAAAATATAAAGTCTCCATCTGCTTCTCCACCTGTACTTCTCTCACTGCCAGGTTTTTATTCTTAATAACTCACCTGGTTATTTAAAAGGTTAAATAAATGAAAATCAAAGGTTTTTCATGCTCGACCAGTCTAAGGGCCACAAATGGCCCCTGGGCCTCACTTTGGACACCCCCGCCTTCAAGGAACAAAATGAACTGGGTGTGAAAATGAACCTGGAGCAGATTCCTGCTGCTCTGACTCGGATGAACCACCAGGTGGCACTGTGTCCACGCTGTGCAGCCGTTACTGTATGTACTGTAAATATTTCCTCTCTGCTCCCGCTGCAGCAGAGGAGCCGTGAATCTGTTGACTTTCATTCAGCCTCGCCTGCGTAGCGATTCTCCAGAGACGCTTCAGTCGAAACGAAGAAAACCTGAAAATACCTGCAGCACAGAAGCTGCTGTTTACCGTTAATCAGAGTCAGGCTGGATTTTTTCACCTGCAGCTTCAGCAACGTTTCCCACTGCAGTCTGCATCACCGGGGCTCAACGTGAGGTCCGGGGGCCATTCACGGGCCCCTCTGATCTCAGGAAATCGGCGCCGGATGTCAAAAATATGAGAAACAAAAAATAGATTCCCATTTGTAACAAAGTTTTTTCATTAATATTAATTTCAAAGCAACTAAAAGCACAAACAACGACCTACTTTTTCTGAAAAGCAAATCTTTCTTCTTAGAAAGGAAAACAATCGACTCAGAAAATGTTTATCATGGTCCAGATTAACGGATTTCCCAGGTTTTCAAGATGAAATGGAAAAAACTCAAATTCTCTTCACATTTCGTGTTTTTTAGTGTTTGAACTTGATTCAGATTTTTAATGACGTTAATTTCAGGATCTATAATTAATAAAAATATCAAACTATTTTTTCTAAATTATTGAAAAAATATCATCAGATCTGAACATCAGAGTTCATCTCAGAGTTTCTCTCATCCTTCATGGAGTTTCTTTAGAAATCTGGACTGTGGACGCTAACATTAGCATTAGCTGCTACATGTTAGCATTCAGATGCTATTTTAGACTAGCATAGATTCTGACAGGCTAACTGCTGTTAGCACCACTTGGACACAACCGTCTCTTCCATCGTCCAATCAGGTCGTGTAGAAGCAGAAATGAACCCAGAGGGAAAAGGGAAACGGCTGCTATTAGCGGCTGTAGCCGTGCGTCAGATTTATGGTCGTTCCAGAAACGTGTGAAGACAAAGGTTCCACTCAGAAGTTTGTGAAAAATGTGATAATTGCGTTAAAATCTTTGAAGTCCCAGTCGTATCTTTTTGCTATTATTATATATTTTGGTAAAAATGACACAAACCTTTATTTTGTCCTCTTTTCGTGACCGATGTGGTTTTCCTTGGAGCTTCTGATTCTGATTTGGACCCATTCTGCTCTTCCTTCCTAAGGATTTGACGGATGTGACGTTTTTCAGTTTTCCACTGATTAGAACCAGAGAAGGTCCGATCTCTGGTTCGTTGATCAGAGTAACTCACTTACCGTTCATCTGGATTAAGCGTTCGAGTCGCTCTGTTAGTGAGGATCGTTCAGTTGCTTTCCTCCAGTATTTGCCATCAGGCAGAGATCAGGACGCCCCAACGCGTCGCCTCAACCCTCTGCAGGATGAGGTTCTGCTCGGCGTTCCGGATTCCTGGGAAACGTGTTCCTGAAGGCACCGGTTCTGGACATGAGCTCTGCGATCCGGTGCAGCCTGGTTCTGGACAGAACCGGGCTTTTCTGCTGGACCAGAACCAGAGATGCATCAACACGCTGCAGGAGACA